TGAAAGCCTGAGGGACCTTCAAGTCTTTGATCATCGTTCTCTGCAGAGCTTTGCTGGTGTTGAACGGCACCAGCTTGTCCGAAACGATGATGTGCGTAGGCGAGTACTAGGTGGTGATGATCATGCTAGCTCCCTAGAACAACAGATAGCACTGAATAAGTTGCGTTTAAACAACATACGTAACAAACAGTTGCCTATCGTGCAAAGATAAGGCGGCATCGGCGAGAGAGCTTCCTTGTGGCTTTCACTGCCACGCGTCACAAGCAGCCATTACCCCGCAGATAACTCAGCACCAAACACACTTTAAACAGGCAATCCGACTAGAAGGCGACAGCAGACTCGCCACTGGTGTCGGTTGCGAGCCATATCTTGTAAAGTCTCGAGCCAAGCACAAGGCGAGTCAAGTGGACATACGTAGTACGTATGTCTGGTCACCGCTTATTTAGGAGGACCTTGTTTAGTCTGCCAGATGTATGGTGGCGCAAGGATCGAGGTGGACAGAAGTTGACATGACAGAGGGAAATGAAATCACTGACGATCAAACTGGATGCCGTTGGTCCGTCTCGCCTTCCGCGCTGGAGTCCACTTGACTCGCCTTGTGCTTGGCTCGAGACTTTACAAGATATGGCTCGCAACTGACACCAGTGGCGAGTCTGCTGTCGCCTTCTAGTCGGATTGCCTGTTTAAAGTGTGTTTGGTGCTGAGTTATCTGCGGGGTAATGGCTGATTGTGACGCGTGGCAGTGAAACCGCAAGGAAACTGTCTCGCCAATGCCGCCTTATCTTTGCACGATAGGCAACTGTTTGTGACGGTATGTTGTTTAAACAAGCTGTAGGCGCCTTGACCCTGAGTGTTTGCTTAGGGCATTAAGGTTTTTAGGTGAGCCCCCTTCTCTCCCACTTAATATTCTTTATGCCATAGGTCATCATGATGGTATGGCAGCGAAGCATCAGTTCAAATGGCTGATGCACGGTTATTGTTGATGATGATGATACCCATTAAAAGTTCAATGAATTTGAAGTCAGCACAGATGTTCCAACAGTATTTATCGTGTTGCAGTGCAGCGAGTATCTGTTGCATGCCGTCGTAAGTCTCCTTCAGATTGGTGGCATGCAACAGGAACAGCTGAGAGGACATTTCCACTGTGGAGTAGCAGAGCCTTAAGACTTCTCTTGGACGAGTCAATGTACAAACGCCATTCATCACTGATATGCCTCGCGGCAAGGTCCTTCATCAGTCTTTCTAGGTTGGAACAGTAACAACGTTTCCATCGTGTCATAAAAACCAGACAAGTTAACACTTTGCCTTCTGTATACAGTAACAGTAAGTCCTACTGCTGTAACCGAGATGCCAACAACTCGACCTTGCCTTTAGGCAAGCCCAGGTCACGTACTAAGTCATTCCGCTCTGATTGATCAATAGGACGTGGGTTGATACCATCAGCTTACAAGTTTTCAAAAATGTCGGGATCAGGTGAAGTTAAAGATGCAGAAGCACTAATCCTCACCAGTGATATGTTCAGTGGAGGCACTGGAATGGGTAAGGTTCAATTAGGCGAAAAGGTTGAATAACTGATGGAAAAACAGGGTAATGAATTTTACCCTCGTTTCGGTTGGTGTATCCAATAACATTAGTTAGCAGAAGTACCAGCCTGTCGTGTGATTCTTCGACTCCATGCACATCATGGGGATTGCGAAGGGCATCTTACCTTTGCCGTTGAGCCACTGAGTCAGATGAAGATTGCACAACACACAAACAATATACGACGCCCACTCCTTATCTCCCAGTTTCATCCCAAAACATGCGTGGTAAGCAGATTACAGTAGTGAAGAAATGGATTTTCACTGCGACTTTGTCGGAAACTGTCCACAGACGTAACAAAAAAGGATTTCAGTCATTGACACAGCAGCATCTTTGAGCCATGGTCAAGATGCCAAGTAAAAAACACAGCTCTCAATCGACTTTCAGTATCAAGGGGATACCATGGCCAAGATCACTTCCTTTATACAGTTACAACGAGCCAATATGCCAATCACAGCCGAGCATTCGATGCATGAAATGCACTGCTTAGCTGAAATGGAAAATTGAAAGTAAAAAAGCCCGACGTGATAGAAACATTTAATCCGCATATTTGTAATCAGCTCACTTGGTGTTACTATCAACACCCTATCTCATTTCTGTCATAAAAATGATGTTGGACAGTGTTGTTAGGGCTGGTGACTAAAATTCAAGCACAGTGGTGTTTCCCAGGGTTCTGTTTAAAGCCCGCTACTATTTCTTATGTATATAAATGAACCAGCCACTCGCCTTGAGAGCCCTTGTTATGTCTTCGTAGATGATGAAAAACTTATCAACAGCACGCTATCTAAAGACCTTCGCACTGCAGTGAGATGGTCGTCTTTGTGGAACATGCCTCTTTATATCAACGAATGTCAACTACTAGGGTGCAGTAGCGAAGGGGTTACAGTGTAAACTTCTGCTGGCACCCTGACGTTACGACACGCTGCTGCAGTAGATGATCTGGGTGTCACTGTGATGAATAACTTTAAGCCTTCAATACAGTGTCAACATGCCACCAATAAGACGCGACAGGGGCTATTCTGCCTCACTTTTGAGGCAGACTTGAGGTTTTCCTTCCCTTATATAAAGCGGTGGTACGAGTACACTCAAAGTATTGTGTGCAGGATTGAACACTACCTCCTGAAGTATAATAAGTATAAGTATAAAGAAAGTTTAAAAGTTGACGACTAAGATAAATGACGGTCAGCGTGAAAAGTCGTACGGAAAACGCCTAAAGCAACTAGGGATTTCTTCCGTGGAAAGGCGCAGATTGAGAGAGGACTTGACAGAAACGTTTAAGATTATGAAGGACCTCAGTGGTAGCAAATCTTCTGTTATGTTTGAACTGGCTCCATGCGACTACCTGCGGAGGCATGAACTTGAGCCTATGCACCAAAGGTCCAGGCTAAAAATTTGAGCGAAATTCTTTGCGAATCGAGTAATTCATAGTCAGAACGGGCTTCTTTCTACCTTAGTGGGAAATGCTGCAGTAGAAGCCTCAAAAAACAGGCTAGTTAAGTGTTGGTTAAATTTTCCTTCCGAATCATCGAATCGAAAATTTTCAGACCTCGTAGTTCATGATCCAAGAAAGTGCAGATGTTGCCCATTTTATTGCCTTACTTTTGCAGATTCAAGAGCAGGAACGCAAATGTCGATGTGCCGGGAGCCATGGTCTGTCTGAGAGTACAAGGGGAGCCTACTTCGTACTTTGAACGTGACCTGACCTGGCCTGATCTTCCTTCTGTCGGCCTCATGTTACGATCGCAAACGAGGACAATAAGGGTTAGTTAAATCTATCCCGCTCCTCAGTAAAATATTTGTCCGAAAATTAAACAAGGGATGCAATTTAAAAGTCAAGCTCAAGTTCATTTGGAACCGGAACAATAGGACAATCCCGTGAATGTGTTTTCTGCGTCTCGTTGGACCAGGAATTGCTGGGGCAGATTGGGATTTCGATAAACCTAAAACAAAAACCGCATCACACCATGACCAACTAGTTAGTGCCCATATGTCCTGTCCAGCGATCCCCGCCAGGTCAGTTACGTGAAGTAAGAAAGTGTGAATGGTAAACTCGCAAAGCAAGAGGAAGATTTAAAAAGGCATCAACAGTAGGCCGGTACACAGTACTGACGCTTCGCTGCCACGCAACCACCACTAGTTACGCGTGGGATAGGACACTGCAAAGGTTGCCTAGTCCCCTAAACAGCCTCCAAGCCGCGACCTCAGACTACAAGGCAAGCTTAAGATTCTTGATGGCACGGGGTGGCTGAGGAGGAAGGTTAACCAAGCAATAATACTAAGGCAGGAGAGGAATTGAAAAAAGTGGAGGAAGCTGAAGATGCAACTCGGTTAGGAAAAAGGGAAGGTTTAGTATTCCCACCAAAGAGCACCGAACTGACGATCAGAACCCTCAAATGTAGATTCCCTAACGAAGTGCTCCGGAACCGAGCTCCAGCATACAATAACTCTGCGCGATAACCGAATTCCCGTTCTAACCCGATTAGAACGCAGGTCGTGCAGCTTTATTGGAGATTAGGTAACTTATCCAGATGATTATCCACAGAATCCCTTAGCAGTTTTTCAAATACCTTGAATATCACGCTTGGCAAACTCACGGCCAGGTAGTTCGCGAGTAGGTTAGTATTGCAGCCATTGAAAATCGGACAGATGATGGCCTCCTGTTCCCAAGGTTAGGCACAGTTGTCAAGCGGTTGCAAAAAATGCATGCAAATAGGTCACTTAGTTCAACGGCCAGTTCATGTTACAGCTTCGGGTGAATCAAATCCCTAGTCTGCTTGCCGGTGCAAGAAACAGGAAGGTCATCAGATGGGAGTCTATTTCATCCTTGGAATGCGATCTGAGCTAGTCTTTTCCAATTCAGTCGTGTTCTTCTGTCCCAAAGATCTTTAACAGTAATTCTACCAGCACAATCGGACTGTCAGCAGACCGTGGGGATTTTGTGACAGTTTCACTCAAACACTTAGTTCGTCTTATATGATATATCATAACAACTGCTACGAGTCGCGATTGGGTACAGTAATTTGGTGCCAACGCCACCGATCCCCAGTTTGTAGACCAAATATGCGTTTTGAAAAAGTTGACTGCGTGTATGGTACCTTTATCGTTGGCGGTACGGCGGGTAGGTCACGGATAATGGGCAAGGTAAGGCAACGCGTTGGGGGTAGTAGACAAAAGATATAGTAATGCTGTGGACATTTTCCCGACAGTCCGGACTTTATTCGGGCTCTCAGCGAAATGCCACTGGAGGTTCTTGCTATCAGGGAAACCTAGGTATTCGCATGCGAAATACAGCATGGTACACGCTCGCAGCACCGCGATAGTTTGTCACAGCGTCCATATAACAATGCCACAAAAAGTTAAATGGCAACGAACAGAAAAAATGAAAAAATGACACCAAATAAATTAGCGATGGATCAAACCTTCAGCAGATCGAAAACTGCTACAAATTCTGGAGGCGGACGGCTGGCATTTTACAACAGGTATTTGAGGCACTGTTGTCGAGATCGACTCCAGTGTTGGCTGCAAGAAATTAACTCTGGTCAGTAAGTGAAAATACTTTGATTTCCTCAAAAACGTCCAATGAGCTTGGAGCAATCGTTGTTTCCTCAGGAATATTCGAACTAAACTCGTCCAACTTAATGTTATCGAGATCAGAGATCATGAAAGATTCATTCCAAAGATTTGGACCCATGAAGGCAGAGTCGATGGGACAATTTGATAACCCAACGCCTGAAATGGAAAACTATACAGACAAAAAACAATACCATAATCCTTCGACATATCACTCTTCCAGTGTGTATTTCTTGCACTCCATAAATGACCAAGACTGTAAGAATCATTAAACATTTTGCAACTTTGAAAAGACTGTATAATATGCGCCTGATCGAGGATTTCAAGGGCTTCCGTGCGCACGTAGATCGTGGTAGATTTTAAAAGGCTGCAATGCAAAACAAATACCTCATAGGCAGTTGGATGAAGTTATCACAGCCACTTAGTAAGAGACAACTCTGGAGGTAAAGTGTAGCACCTGGCTGGATACCATTCTCAGATGCCGATGGGATCGACCCTTAGCTGAACGGATGGTGAAAACAAACAGGGAACGGGAAGATAAAGAGAAAATGAAACAACAAAGCCGTCTAATCGACGATTTCAAGATACTTTGGCGAAAGAATAATTGGTTGGGTTGTTTGGTACAGGTTAAGTCAATCTTGCCACTAAATATAGTCACTGCCGCTTGCTTCGCCTCGCTGGAGGGTTGTAATCATCATCATCATCATTATACATGTTGTAATATTTTAGCTGGACGCTAGGAGTAAAAGGCCCCTATTTGGTAGCCCGCCAAACGAAACGCATATGAAACGAGAAATCGGTCACCGGCTCCCAAAGGGCGCGATTCCCTGAATTCGCCCCAATGTCTTTCGGATCAGGTCCCTATGACCGAAGGCTCCGGATGGGTTCTCTAAGTCAACCCCTTCCTCGGCCTGGGCAATAGGGATGCTGTATGCCCACACAACACATTAAATGATGGATTTACGACTCTCTGCACACGATTCTCGCTCTCTGGACTATCTTTCTCTCTTTGGTCGAGGTGCTTGCGGTCGGGTAAGCTAAACCTCACTCTGCCCCACCGCAAGCTACCTTCTTCGTTTCACGTTTATTTAATCCTCCCGTTCTTGGTAACCCCCTCCCATTCCGAGTCTCCAAAAGTGCATTGCAAACATAAAGGTATCTTTGGTCTTATCAACGAACGGGTGAAAACCGATCGCACACAATCAAATTCCAACAGCAAGTCTTTTATTGCACCCTGATCGCTCTTCAAGCTAGCTACGTTCAATGTTCGAACGCTTATGCAGATTGGACCACAAGCTGTTCTTGCGTGCAAATTGGAAACCCTCTCCATCGAGGTTTGCTGTCTAAACAAAATCCGTTTACAAAACTACAGAACAACGCTGCGATCGCTGTCACCATCCTCGAGTTCCGATTGCACATTCAGCTTGCGCTTATCCGGAGATATGACAGCGGCAGCCTCTGGTTGCGCCGGCGTCATCATCATCATTATACACATCAACTAGAGGAGTAAAGCACCTCAGCTACTGTGCCGCAATACATAAAAGAAAAATGAAAATAAATACAACAGTTGCATGCCAGCTGAGCTACCACGAGCAACGGATAGGCAATGTTCCGGCAAGCTACCAGCCGGCTACTAGGCAACAAGAAAAAATTATTATGTAAAATGATATTACGCTACGAAATGAGACCGTCGTTGGAGGGGAGGCTAAAGGTAATGGGGAGGGACAAAGAAACTCCCAGCAGGAACGCCAATGAGGTCCGCTCCTAGCCATGTCAGCCAAATGTGTTCATCGTCTTTCGGACCCCAACCAGGGCGCCGTGAAGCACCAACTGAGGCCAGCTCCGAAGTGAGGGGCCTTCATTCCTCACGACAAACTCATTGCTTGGCCACCCATCCTCTCCTTCCATCTACACCACCAGTGAGCAAACAGCACACGCCGCGGAAGTCAGTGGGCTGGCATGCGTAACACGTGGCCCAGCCATCATCATCATCATCATCATCATCAACAACAACAGCAGTACATCAGCCATTTGAACTGATGCTTCGCTGCCATACAACCATGAGGACCTATGAAATAAAGAATAAGAAGAGGGAGAGAAAGGGGGACTTACCTGAAAACCTTAATGCCCTATGCAAATATTCAGGGTCAAGGCGCCTACACCTTGTGCAGACAACATTCCGTCACAAACAGCTGGCTATCGTGCAAAGATAAGGCGGCATCCGCGAGACAGCTTCCCTGCGGTTTCACTGCCACGCGTCATAATCAGCTATTACCCCGCAGATAACTCAGCACCAAACACACTTTAAACAGACAATCCGATTAGGAGACTACAGCAGACGCGCCACTGGTGTCTACTGCGAGCCATGTCCTGTAAAGTTTCGAGTCAAGCACAAAGTGAGTCATGTGGACTCCAACCCGGAAGGCGAGACGGACCAAAGGCACCCAGTTTGGTCGTCAGTGACTTCATTTCCCACTGCCAAGTCAACTTCTGTCCACCTCGAGCCTTGCGCCATCCTACACCTGGTAGACTGAACAAGGCCCTCTTAGGTAAGCGGTGACCAGGCATGCGTAGCACGTGCCCGAGCCAACGCAACTTACTCAGTGCTATCTGTTGTTCTAGGGAGCTAGCATGATTATCACTACCTAGTACTCGCCTACGCACATCATCGTTGCGGACACGCTGGTGCCATCCGACACCAGCAATGCTTCGCAAACAACGATGATCAAAGACTTGAAGGCGCCTCAGATCTTCAGACCGAAGGGGCCAAGTTTCACTACCATAGAGCAGAACGGACCTCACTGTGGCCTTGTATACACGGCCTTTCAGACGGAGGTAAACTCCCTTCTGTCGCCAAAGATGACGCAGGTTCAAGAAGGCAGCTCTGGCTTTGGCAATGCGTGAGCTCACGTCAGTTTCTATGCGCCCATCATTGCTGATGCAGCTGCCAAGATAAGTGAATTGATCAACCACCTCGAGTTCCTCGTTAGCAAGGGTCAAGGGGTCATCGAGTGGCTGATGGTCCTGCAGCAACACTTTGCACTTTGAAGGTGCGAAGTGCATACCAAATAATGGGACCACTCTGGACAGGCTATTCAGGGTTGATTGTGCCGCCTCAACATTGTCGAAAAGCAAGACGATGTCGTCCGCATAATCTAGATCAACTAACCGTTCACCAGACAGCACTTCAACATCTACATCGTGAGATTCCGCAAGGGAACACTCCATGATAGAATCCACGACGAAATTGAACAAAACTGGGGAAATCGAGCAACCCTGTCGAACGCCACTTGTAGTCGAAAATCTATCCGATAGGGCACCATAGACCCTGACGCGGCCTCTAGTGTTCGAGTATAGAGCACGAAGAATGTTCACATATTTCGTGGGAACACCTTTCCGCGCAAGTATTTCGAACAGAATCGATCGATCGACCGAATCGAACGCACTCTTGAAATCGAGGAACACAGCTATTGTCGGTCTGCGGTATGCGTGGTGCTGCTCTAGCACCTGCCGCAAAGTGAAGATATGATCTATACAGCCACGTTCTGGGCGAAAACCGGCCTGCTGTTCCGTAATCCGAGATTCCCGTTCCGCAGTGAGGCGACGAACGAGAATCGAGGCCAGTAATTTTGTCACAACTGGCGTTAGGCTAATACCCCTGTGGTTCCCACAGTCTGTGCGATTGCCCTTTTTGTATATTGCCACTATAATCGATTCGCTCCAATTAGCCGGCACACTCTCTTCGTTCCAGATGCGTTCGAATAGGGAGGTCAGTGCTTTGCAGAGGACCTCACCTCCATCCTTAAATAGTGCAGGTGGGAGGGAATCCGGGCCAGCGGCACGAAAACGATTGAGGGCTGTGATCGCGTTTCGGACCTCGGCCTCCGACGCAGGCTCTAAACTAACCGTCCATGGCTCGTCCTGCATCACCTGAGTAGGAAGAGGTCCGGGAGCAGGGGGCCAGCTGAACTGATGTTCAAAGTGCTCAGACCAACGAGCCATACGGCGCTCCTTACTGTGTATCAGCGCACCCGCACTGCCCCTGATTGTCTCACTGACGCCTGGTTTCCTCGGACCAGTGGTGCGTATTAGCTGGAAGAGCTTCCGGTAATTGCCTACTGCTCCTGCTTCCTCAATTTCCTGAGCCCGACTGGTCCACCAGGCTTCCTTGTCAGCACGTAGGCTCCGCTTTAGTTCACACCTAATAGCCCGTCTGGTCACATTGTGTTCCGAACCAGCCGGGAGGTGCTTTCTAGCTTCCAAAAGGTTCACGGACCTCTCGGATATCCAGTGACTGGTGCGATGACGACTGATAGTGCCACAAGCAGATGCTCCTGCGTCGTGCATGGCAGTCGAGATCCTATTCCACTGATGTTCAGTATCATTAGGACAAGACAGCGAGAGTTCGTTATGCAGTGCTTCTTGATAGGCTTGCCTGACAGAGGACTGGGACAATTTCTCCGTTGCCAATCAGGGGAGACACTTTGTGTGCCTTCCGGTAAAGTTCATGGAGAAACGACAGCGCACCAAAGCATGGTCAGAGTCGACACAGATATTCCAGTACGAGCGGCAATCCAGAATGGAACCGCGCCACCTGTAACTTATGGCTATGTGGTCAATTTGGGTCCATCGCTGACCAGCTACAGGTGGACGCCAAGTGGCACTTCGGCGCCCACTGTGTCTAAAAGCAGTGCTAGTAAGAAACAACTGGTGCTCCGCACACAGTTGCAGCAGACGCTCGCCGTTGTCAGCCCCTTCGGCGTCAAATCCATACTTACCACCCAGCTGAGCTTCTGAAGAGCTCAGACTCCCTACTTGTGCGTTCATATCCCCTGCAAGTACTATAATATCTGAACTAGTAGCACTGCGTAGCAGCGTGTTCAGTTCGTGATAGGAAGTGTCCTTGACTGCATTAGAACTGCAGTCCGTGGGAGCATAAGCAGAAATCACAAACAAACAGCGTTTTGTTTTACTTCGCGAATTCACCTTAGCTGATGTCGTCAAACGGGCTGCACATAAACGGCTGTTCACCGGAATCCAATCAACCAACGATGACTCAGCCTTGGAGCTGAGAATGATACTTACACCAGCTTGACCCGTGAGTGCCGCATCGGCGTCTTCGGATGCGTGCAACCAATAACGAGAGGATAAGCCGGGTGCAGTCAATTCAATAACCCCGTTAGGGTCATTAATCCTAGTTTCGGACACACAACACACATCAATACCCAGTGTGTCCAAGGTGCGTGCGAGTGCAGCCTGCTGACCTGTTTGTCTTAGAGTGCGGACGTTGAATGTCGCCATGGATACGGGACAGCGTGGCCTTATAAGGAACTTTTGCCGATAGGCGTCCGATAAGTGCTGTGGAATGGTGA